ACTGCCTGAAGTAGTTCTTCCTACTGTCATGAGAAACAAGGCTATTAAGAGATTCAGTCTTTCTATTACTGTGAAGTAGCAGGCTTTTTAGAAACTCCACGCATTGTGAAAGAAGATCTAAAATCATTCAAGGGAGGTTTCTCACTGTACTTTTCTCTTTTAAAAAATTGGTTAAGTTACAAGTTTGTGGGTAGAAGGCTGACCTAACAGAGGTAAGATGTAGTATACAATCTTGGAAACATCATCTGTCCTAAGGGTGACCCATCCCATCTTGTGTCTGTTGTGGCATGGTGAGTGCAGCATGTCTCGAAAACTTCTAAGCAACCTAAGCTTGTAGAACAGGATCCTCCTTGTAGTTATTTCTGTCTTCTAATAGGTATTCCTATTCCATGAGGCATCTCTGAATTTGGGTGGAGAAACAGGCTTTCCAGTGCAGCTCTTTTTTCATCTTTTTGGGTTTTTTTTTATCTTTTTGGTTTCTTGCTCTCTAGATAAATCTTTCTGGTGCTGTGAAGACTGGTGAATACTGGTTTAAGCAACATAATTAAAATTATAAGATGGGCTTACCCACAGAAAAATACATGAGAAAACTTATTTTTTTCTAAGGAATGTGAGAGTGTTTACTGTCAGCTAGACGTGTGTTTACATTTCTTAAGATAAAACAAAATATTGAGTCGTGCCTAGTTCAGAAGATACTGTACTTTTTGTGCCTTCAATTTGGTTTTGGCTACATTAAAGATTGTGTACCACGTGTGCACAAGCAGCTCAGTTCAGTTGCACAGAAGATCCTAACTCAGGCAGTTTTAAACCTTGGAATGCCTTATTTTGCAGGAGGTCGGTGTGTGTGCCACACATGGCTGTGTGCAAGCATTTGACTGTCCCTTGCAATGCTGTAGTAGTACTTCAAGAAAGCAAAGTTGCAGCTTTTTACATAAACAGGCAGCTGAGTTTGGTTGTTAGGAACAGCAGAAAGCTCCACGCAGCCCAGGACCCTGTGTTCCATCCTGCCAACAGCAGGTGGTGCAGTGGGCAGGAGTAAGATTGGCTTATAATCGTGTTTCCCCAAAATACACCTTCAGCTTCCAGCAATTTGTGACTTGAGAGTTTTCTAGCAAAATATATTTGAAAAATTAGATGGGACAGCCCTTTCCTTTGCAGAGGCACTGCTGATGTCTTCTGTTGGATAGGCCAGCTCATACATTGTGATTAAACTCACAGTGGTTATTCCCAAATTGTGTTTCGCTTCCAAGTTTTCTTTTTTGTTGAAGACCTGACCAGGGGCCTATGTGTCTGAAATATGAGCTGTTTTTTTCTGGTTTTTCTCAGATCTGCTGAAAGAGATTTGTCTTCATTAAAACTTAAAGGCTGCATTTCTCTGCAGGCATTCCTGAACTGAGGAAAAATAATTTTGGGGGTCCACTGAAATAGATATGCTAATATATATGTATCTTGCATTGTAGAATTGGGTCCATATTTTATCCTTTCTTTAAAACGTTGCGTGTTCCATTCTGCTATGAGCAAGAAAGAGGAGACATTTTCTTCTGGGGTTCTTTGTTCTGGAATCCTTTGTTCAGCTTGGTCTATTTCTATCTTTTAATGTTTAGAGTGGTTGAAGATTAAAGCAGGGCTTAAAAAGCTTGACTAAAGCAGAACATACTTGCTGAGGAATGGAATTTTGGAAAAGTAAACTTTTTCAGTATATTTCCTGTTGAAGTAACTGCTGATGGGGTGTGTACAGGGCACAAGTTGGAACTGGTACATCTGTTTGAAATGAAGATTACAGTAAATGGGGTGAAAAAACCCTTTTTCTGGTACTAGCTTTTGTAAAATGCCATTTTTTAAAATATACTTTGGGCAGTGTTTTAAGAGCTGCACAGTGTTTTACTTGTTTTGAAACAGGAAGGTGTGTGGAGAGTTAACGTTACATAGCAATGCATTTTATTAACAAAGCATTGTAAAATTGCATTTAATTGTCAAATCTGGTTATTCAGCCCATGTGAGAGTTTGTAATCACGATAATATTTTGTGCTCTTTCTGGTGTTAACTACTAAATATTTTGCAAGATACAGATGTGCTTTCAAAATAGCTTCACTTTCTTTGTCTAACATACAGATCTTTACCTGATTATTTCAACACTGTGTGGAGCTGGTTATGTTGGTGCTTTGATACTCATTGAGTAGAAGTAACAAATGAAATAGCAAAATTTTCTGTCTGATTTGTTGCAGGGTATTTGCAACAGGAAAAACTTCTAGCTACCTGCCGTGAATTTATTTTGGAAAGCTCAGATTTGAAAGAATATGCAGAGCACTGTACAGAGGATGGGTTCATTCCAGCCTGCTTGCTGGTGAGTTTGTGTTTGCAAAGCAGAAAGTTAAATTGTCTTGCATCTGTGGAGAAGAAAATTGAGATTTCTTAGAGTAACAATTACTTCTCAAATGCTTAAAATGCTTAGTTAGATCATCCCCTCTGGTTTTGGGTTGTTTGGGTTTTTTTATCCTGTGGTATTATCAGTTATTTCTAGTATTTAATCTTACTAAGAGACATTTAAGTGTAAAATTGGTTTCATTATTTTGGATTTAGTCTGCTTTGTGGCTTTAAGGTTCATTTATGGAAGGGTGTTGCAAGGGTTTTATTGATTTCAAGAATTCTCTTGTAATTTATTGGAGATAGCTTTTGCATCCTAGACATGGCAGCTAGTAATGTTCCACTTCAAGTACATAATAAATATTTAGATAAGGTACCTCAGCTTTAGCTAAGGCTACCCAGTTTTGTTGATACAAACTGTTTCAGTTCAGCTTCCTCTTTGATCAGTGTCATCTGCTTTGTCCCAGGTGAGATGTGGAACTTTGGGTGTGCACAAATACAGCGTGTAGCTACGTATGTAGATATGTGCCTATAACTACAGAGTAATTAGATACTATACATTTTTAATATATACAGAATGGATTTTCAATACAGTATCCAAGCTACAGGGTTTAGATATTTCTGTGTATCAATCTTTTAATGTTTACATGTGTGTCTTCATTCTCTTTTCTGTTTCATTCTTCTAGCATGTTAGTTAACTATATGGTCTAGGATTTTGTCCACAGGTTTCAAAATCTGTGGAAATCTGTTCTGAGATCCAAGGTCTTGGTGTGCCTATTCAGAATAGACCATTGAACTTACTCCATTTATAAGTATTCAGTCATCTGTACTTTTTGGGGTAGGGAGTTGAGAACCAAGCTATGGCCTGCAAAAACATGAAAAACATGTAAACAGGTCATGTAGATTCTTAAAGCTTTTAATTATCTTCCTTTCCTCAGCAGAAACTTGCCCCCTGTTTTTTGTAGAAGAGTGATGATGTAATAGTGTTGCAGAAAAAATCCTCATGTCAGCTCAAAATACTTAAGATAGAGGGCTGTATTTGTCAGAGCCTGTAGAATTCCCACTAGCAAACAAGTCAAGAAGATATAGCAAATGATAGTGGTAACCTTGAAATCTTAATTCTCTTCATTTCAGCTAAAATAATGGAACAAGTAAATATGGTTTGACAATTAATTCCATATGACTGTGTAGAATTTTACTTTAGACAGAATCTCTCATTATATCTTAAAGCATGTTGTGTTCCAGGGTGATAGATGGTCATTACTCTGTTACAGCTCTTCATTGTCTTGTCTTTGTGTTTTTTTTCCATAATAATGAAGGTGAGTGAAGGCCATGCAGGTCTAACTGCTATACCAGTGTGGTGCAGTGCAGTCAAGCACTTCAGATTCTGTGTTCTTAACGGCCTTTTGTCCCATGGAGTGCTCTCTGCCCTAGATTGACACAACTCAGTGTCAGCAGCACACAGTACAGTTCCCTGTGTTTTAGGGTCAGCCTGGTGTAGTCTTCTGAAGAGCTGTTTAAGTGTAGTGTGATAGAGCAGGTGAAGTAGAAGTTATTAGTGAAGATTCTAAGATGAGATTTTTTTTTTTTTCTTCCAGTCCCTGTGTGGAAAAAACTTGACAACTATTCTTAATGAATATGTAGCCATGAAAACAAAAGGTAAGCCTTCAGAATGAGATTTTTCTTATTTATCTGCTGTGAACTCCTTGTGGAATAGGCAATACCTCCTCCACCTCTACGTGGACAGACTGAGAGAGTTGGGGCTGTTCAGTCTGGAGAAGGCTCCGAGGTGACCTTATTGTGGCCTTCCAGTATCTTAGGGGGGCCTACAAGAAAGCTGGGGAGGGACTTTTTAGGATCTCAAGTAACAACAGAACTAGAGGGAATGGGGCAAAGCTGGAAGTGGGCAGATTCAGGCTGGATGTGAGGAAGAAGTTCTTCCCCATGAGAGTGGTGAGACCCTGGAATGGGTTGCCCAGGGAGGTGGTTGAGGCCCCATCCCTGGGGGTCTTTAAGGCCAGGCTGGATGAGGCTCTGGGCAGCCTGATCTAGTGGGAGGTGTCCCTGCTCATGGCAGAGGGGTTGGAACTGGGTGATCCTTGTGGTCCCTTCCAACCCTGACAGATTCTGATCTGTTTTGGCAGAGGACTTTGGAGCCCTGGTGGCTCGGTGGTTGGATTTGATGATCTTGGAGGTCCCTTCCAACCTAAATGATTCTATGATTCTATGATTCTATATGAGCCATATGTACAGGGAGATAAAACTAAAAGCCTCTGTTTGTTTTAGAGGGGGCCTTTGTAGAGGTGGGAAACAGTCAAGAAGCTGTTGCTGATGCAGTAAGTTTTCAGTAACAAATAAACGTAAAGGTTATTGGTACTCATGGTATGATTCTGTGGACTGAGAGCTGTCCCCCATCTGTGCTAGGAGTTGGCATTTTCCATATTGTGCAGGCAACAACCAATTAGATCAGCACCTTGTGAGCAAAATTAATTTATTATCTTAGTCTGGATTTGCTAGCATATATTTCCACTTTAAATTTGAGCAAACTTCTAATCTAATAAAGCACAAGGTTATAAGAAAGCATGCAAAATCTATAGGTTTATGCTTGTAAAATTATAGCATTTATTGTTTGTATTGTAAATATGAGGGAGAGGTGTTGAGCTCTTCTCTGTAGTGACTAGCAATAGGACACAAGGAAATGAAGTGAAGCTTTGTCAGGGGAAGGTCAAACTGGACATTAGGAATAGGCTTTTCACTGAGAGGGTGGCCAGTCACTGAAACAGGCTCCTCAGGGAAGTGGTGGTGGCACCAAGCCAGTCAGAATTCTAAGAGCATCTGGACAAAGCGTTTAGTCCTACAGTTTAGTTTTAGGTCGTTGTGTGAGAAGCAGGGAGTTGGACTCAATGGTCCTTATGGGTGCCTTCCACCAGGAGTGTGGTGGGTTAGCCCTGGCTGAGCAAGCAATGCCCACCAAGCCACTCTATCAACCTCCCCCTTTGCTCTCCCTCCTCCGCAGAGCAAAAAGGGGAAAGGAAATTAAGATGGAGACAAAACCCTTGTGGGTAAGAACAAAAGCAGTTTAACTAGAAAGCAAAGCCGAGCAACACTTTGCATGGAAGCAAAGAGAAAAAACCCAAATATTTATTCCCTGCTTCCCATCAGCAGGTAATCTCTGGCCTTTCCTAGGAAGCAGGGCTCCAAAACGCCTAGCAGTGGCTCCAGAGGATGGCAGAGTAGCCTCCTCCCCCCCTGTTGTGCCAGCTTTATAGCTGAGCTGATGTCATGTGGTCTGGAATATCTCTTTGGTCAGTTCAGGTCAGCTGTTCTGGTTATGTTCCCCCCAAGTTCCTGCCCCCCCATCCCACTGTGGGGGGAATGTTAGAAAGAGCCTTGGTGCTGTGCGAGCCCTGCTCAGTGGTGCTCACAACATGGGAGTTATCAACAGCCCTCTACCTCCCAACACAAAAGCCCTGCACCAGGAGAGCTGCTGTGGGAAAACCAGCTCAGCCAGACCTGATAAGGTGAGATGTTCTGTGATTCTATGAAATAACCAGGAAGAGTCCTACAGTGTGAATTTCTTGTCTCGTTTTTAAAACCAATTAAGATAATTTCAGGATAACTTCATATCCTGTATGAATATTAGAGACAGACCATTTCCTCTTTTAAAAAAGCTTCTGAATGTTCCCAAGTTTTAAAATTTTTTTGATATATGTTGTTCAATCAGATTTTAGCGGTACTTGGTTCTAAGACTTGGAATTTAAGATTTGTCATATTTGGAAGATATCTGAATGTTTTGTCCCTTTCACATTGGGTTTAAATGAAATTGCAACTAAGACACAAACATAGTTTCTTCAAAATACATTATACTTGGCACCTTGAAAAGATCTATAAATTTTTCTGCTTACATCTTTCTATTTATACCTTAGTGTTCTGTGCTTCAAAAGTACCTAAGCCTTTTTACCTGTGTGGGTGACAGCTTAAAATAAACGATTATTTTTAAAGCCCTGTCTACCAGTTTACAGTTTTCAAAAGCACACAAGTGACTTGGGAATATGAATACCATTTGCAGAAGTGAGTTAGATTGGGTTACTGTGTGTTTGCCCAGGAGTCAACACCATTTGCATATTGTGTCGAGAGTTACTATTATAAATGTCTTTGCCTCAGTTTCATTTAGGCTCCTGAAACTGAGGACTGCATCCATGATGATTGTGTGTGCCTGTCAGTCAAAGTTCTTAAGTTAGGAGTTGGGGCTTTCATTAACAGAATAGTAAGAAGGTGACTAGACACCTAAAATCAGATGCCTGAAACAAGCCATAATAATTCTTTTGCTTGTGATTTTGCATTTTCTCAACAAGTATTGGTTTTTTGACATCTAAGAGTTTTTTTCTTTATTTTAGAAACAACAATTGAAGTTCCTGCAATGATGTCATCTCTGTGGAAAAAATTAGACTATACGCTTTCTCAGATCAGGTAATAGAGTTTTGAAATCAAACAAGTAAAATTTCACTCTAAGAGTGAGTGCCTGTGTTGATCAACTCCCCATGTCATTGTACAAGAATGGTTTTGCTCTCAGATGCCTCTGAGAGATGGTGAAAAGGATAGATAGCTGTGTGAGAGTTGATAGTTGAGTAGACATTTCATGATTTAGCAGATAAGGAGGGCATTAATGTATGTGCCTTCCTATAGTAAAAGAGTATACTATGACTCATTTAGAATTTGGTACTGTTGTGGTTACTTGATCAAAAATATAACAGTAAGCTTCCTTTGAAGGATTTGTGACCATTGTTTGAAAGAACAAAACCAACAGTCAGCAGATTGAAGCTTTCTGGAGTAATGTGTGGTTGAAACCAGGCCAATATTAACCATGTGGTAGATACCCTCGAACTGTGCAGCTGGGTGTTTCTGTTGTGCTCCTTTTGTTTATGTCACCTGCTTTATTTTCTAGGAGCATGCAGAATTCCACAGGATTTTCTGCTAATCAAAGGAGTAAGTAACTGAGCCAATTGTATGAGGTCAATAGGCTTTATGTTCAAGTTAATTGTTTTGGCAAAAAATGGGGGAATGCTGCAGCCACCAGTAACACATCCATACTCTTGAAGTGTTGTCAGATCTCTTCTGCAGTGTTTTTTTTTCCATCATGTCTGTTGTCTTCAGTGCAGTCAGTGGATCAAGAAAGGAAAATAGGAAAAGCTGAGCTTTTTGCAATGGGCTTAAATTCTCAATATAGCATTTTCTTCTCTGCTGAAAACTTTGTAGAAGTTTACATGGTTAAAAGGTTTAAAACCTGCTGCTTCGTTTCTGAAGCTGTTGACTTAATTTGTGGTTCATAGAGGAACTGAAAACAACCAGTCTGATTATGATGCAGCATCATTTCTGTAGAAGGGGAGTATAGAAATGTACTACAATCTTGAGACAATTATTTTTTTATGCATGCAAATCTACATCTAAGCGAAATATGAAAAGATTCTTACTCTGTCTACAATTGTTTCTTTCATTACAAAATCTGCCAAATGAACTCTCAAAAGAAAAGTTACTTTATTTAAAAATTTTTTCTCTTAATAATATTTCTAGTGAGTAACCTGTGTGGAAAAAAAAAAATGTGAAATCTAGGTAGTATTTGTTCTTGGATGTGAGATTCACTGGCTTGGGTGGTGGTCTGTTCGAATTTGTCAGATTTAGGCTGATAAATACAAACATACATTGGTTTAGCTATTTCAGTTAAAGTCAGTAATATAACTGGTATATTGTGTAATGAAGTATCTTTTTGATATGATTTATTCCTGTAAATATTTAAGCAGCAATACAGGCATGGTTACAACATTTATGTAAATTGGCTGTACTTCATGAATTATTTTGTCTCAATCCTGTAACACAGAGGACAAAAAAGGGTGTTGCTTGCTTTTTAAGTGTCATTACTTAGTTGTTGAAGCACAAAGAAGTTTCAATGGAGCATCCTTAATTAGATCTTGTGGCAAATCAGCAACCTTTTAAAATTCCTTTGTCATACCATCTTGCCTTTACTGTCTCCAGCACGCACCAGAAGCGGGATTGTAGAGATGAAAAGGCAGAGGATGCTCCAGCAGTCGGCCGCGGCAAGCTCCCTGCTGCTGCCTGTAGCCCATCAGCCAGGGCCACAGGGTTCCTCTTCTGCTGTAGCTCCTCAAGTTATGCAGAGGCCAGCAATAAATCAAAGCGTGTCACAGGCCAGGCTGAATACGTTGTTTGTGCACCAGTCACAAGCCCATGAAAACAAGATCAGCAGTAAGTTGCATGTGTTTCTTAACCTTTTTTCCTGTGAAAAATCTGTGGAAAGAGATGGGAAGTTTTCTAAAATCAGGGTGAATCATCTTCCACCAAAGAAGTTTCAGAAAATTCATGCTTTGTGCTAGCTCTCCAAATGGGGTCAGGTGATTAAAACAAAAGGAGTGTGCAAAAGATAAATGGCTCTTGCATACTTGCTTGCTGATGTGAATTTGGAGATCAGAAGTGCATTAATTTGTCACTATTCTATCCTGTGTTCTCCCCCTCACCCAAAACACTTGTTTTGGCATATAGGGATGATCCACATCATGGATGTTTTTCCCAGGGTATATTTAAAAAGGAACGATTATCCTTTTCCTAATAATACCAAATTATTTTTTATTAATATCTAGGAGTTGATTGAACGCAGTAAGGAATATGTAAGTTTCTGTAGTGCTTTAGCAGTGTCACTGGAAAAGGTACTGGCATCATGATTTTTTTTCCTTTATAAAGCAGGAGATTTCATACACATTCAAGTCCCAGCATCACAAGAACGAAAGCTTCATTCAAACTTGCTTTCTCCAGGAAGGCGAAAAAGGTAAACACAAGGCTGTTTTTTTGTTGTACTTGCTTTTTTGTTTGTTTGGTTGGGTTTTTTTGTGAGATTTTTGTTAGTTTTTCAAGACTGTTTAGAGTTTGTGGTGTTCTAACATCTACTGTAAATTTGCTTAGATGCTGGAGTGTTTCACATTTAAGATCCACGGAGAGTGGCCAGTGTGTGATGTTTCACAAAGGAAAGGAAAATCAAATAAGATTAGACTGATAGGAGACTACTTGTACTTCTTTGCTACATAAATCTGGTCTTTACATTACTCTAGTATTAGACATTGGCAAATAATCTTGGAGCCCAAGGTTTAGTATTCCTTCCAAAACATGCTTATCAGTTATGAAAATTGTGAATATTGATATAAATGTGCATTTTTTTCTGTTTTTAATTTGGAAAAACCATAGAGGTCACTAAATTTTGTTAGCAGAAATTTCCGTTAGGGTTCTTACTAAAAAGTGGTGTGAAAAACTGTTCTTCCACTCGTTTTCCATTTTTTATTCTTTTGATTCCAGTGTCATTTTGTTTTTCATGAGTTGACTGACCTCTTGGTCTTCCATGTGTTGTCTTTATCCTTGACTAAATCCTGGTCAGTGCTTTTGCTTATCATTTTCCCAGGTCCTTCTTTATTTATACCTTTTCCAAGTCCTCTCTATTCCTGCATGTTTTTTTTGTAAGTGATTTTAGTGTTACTGCATACAACATGAAGCAGGTATGGGATTTTATTTCACTTCAGTACATAGTTAATTTTTTGTTGATTAAAATCTTTCACTTGCTAAGGAGAAAGAGAAACACTTTATTTACTGGCCATTAGGTCTGTTGTATTTTGTGAGAACATGGCAAACATCATAAATTTCCTGAAATGTTCCAGTGACTCTCAGAAGAGGAAAAGCATTGCAACAGCTGGACCTCTTACAGCAACCAGAAGTTCTCAAGACCCTGATGAAGTATTGACAGAAAAAGAAAGTGAGCCACTTGAAGAATTCATAGATGGTAACTTCCCAGTGAGTATATACTTAAGGAATGTATTTACATTTAAGAAAATAAATTCAGACTAAGAGCTAGTCTTTTACATGGTGTTTGTCTTGAATATTACAGAAATTAATTTTAGAATGTAAATGTACTGGTTTGTATTTGAACTAGCTCTTCTGTGTACTGAAGTAATGAGGATGGCATGGCTATGTGGAGGGCTTTTTTTTTTTTTTCCTTGATTTATTTGCTTTGCTAAGATACCTATAAGCTGTCAGAATACAGTGATGTTTTAGAGACTGGAAACCAGGAAGCACAATAAGCCTTGCTGTACTTCGGGAGAGCAGAAGCAAAGGAATGTTTTCAAGGGATTTTCTTAGCAGTGTCACACAGACACAGATTGCCTGTCAGTTGTAAAGAATTCTCTGTGGGGAATTGTTTGGGTTTTCTTTTTACTGTTAAGTTGGAAATTCATGCTCCTTTTCTAGGACTGATAAAAATAGAAACCTGACAACTTTAAAACTGTTTTTTTCAGCAACTGGTTATTGAAAATGCCAGAGAAAAAATCTTGAGCAACAAATCTCTTCAGGAGAAGCTTGCTGAGAACATTAACAAAATCCTGGGCAGGTAATAAAAAGATGACCTAAACTTCATGTGTAATCTTGTTTGATTTATTTTTGAGTTCTGATCTAGTGACTAATGTGTTTCAGTGATGGCAGTGTTGCTCAGGCCCCTAAACAGACAGACAGTGGTCCCACAGAACAGGAGACTTCAATTGATGAAATCCTTGGACTTCAGGTAGGTGTGGTTTGCCATGTTTACTGTTTTTGGAGACCAGGCACATGAGAATGATCAGTTACAGGAACTATGCTGAACCTCTGTCTGGTGTCTGAGATTGCTCTTGTCTTCTTTTCTTTCTTTTTCTGTGTCTTGTACATCACAGCTAAGCCTGTCTAGTGGCTGGTTTCTTCTGCCCGGGGTCAGTTCCACAGCTTCCCTTGTGTAGACATTAACTCTTACCCTGGTGTATGGTGGTGGGTAGGTTCGAGGAGCTGAACTGACAAGATACTAGTGTTTTGCTGGGGTTAATTTTGAGCCATTTCAGCACTCAGTTCATTCCCAGTGCCTGTACAAGGTAGCATGGGCGTGCAGCAGGGTCAAAAGCCAAGGGAGGAGGACCACTTCTGGCAGTGGTTAGCTGTTAACATTACTTGCAAACAAAGATCTAAGTACTCTGTCCCACGGTCACCAGCTGCCTGCTTGACACTGGGTCTTTGGTACCAGCCTCTGGCTGGGGATCTGATTAATAGCCTTGTAAAAGAAAAAGGAACTTGATATTTTGTGGTCTCCAGACATGTTTAGTCTGAGCTGATTTTCTGATTTACTCTAAGATAAACACAGCTTGTCTACTAAAGCAAGAGAAATAATCTTTGGAGCCCAATCAAGGATGTTTTTTCCTCAAATTTTCTATTTTATTGCTTTTGGAGGAAATAGGTTGCCCAGGGAGGTGGTTGAGGCCCCATCCCTGGGGGTCTTTAAGGCCAGGCTGGATGAGGCTCTGGGCAGCCTGATCTAGTGGGAGGTGTCCCTGCTCATGGCAGAGGGGTTGGAACTGGGTGACCCTTGTGGTCCTTTCCAACCCTGACAGATTCTGATCTGTTTTAGCAGAGGACTTTAGAGCCCTAATGGCTCCATGGTTGGACTTGATGATCTTGAAGGTCCCTTCCAACCTAAAGGATTTTATGATTCTATGATTTCTACAAAATAAACTTCCAGTATTCTCCCTTCGTTTTCCTATGGCCCTCGAGCTGGCAGTCGGAGTTACAAAGGGCTCTTAATGAGGGAATTATAATCTTCATGGCCCTTGTGAAAAGGGCAGGAGAGTACAGGTAGTTGCCTGTTTACAGCATAGAGGTGTCTGTTTTTTAAAAGCTTATTCTTACGTCACTTGTTCATTTTGGGGTCAATTTTTGTCAAAATACAGAGCTGAAAAGCTGTATCCCATTTTTTCTGAGCAGAAACAAAATCAAAAGCAACTTCTTCACTTGGTTAGGGTAGCCAAGACGAAATCAAACTTATCACATGGGATATCCACCCTTAAAAACCACGAAATCAAAAGTTGTGAGGTGTTCAGAGGATCTCCAGGAAGCTGGGAGAAACTTTCAACGCTTGAATATGTACTGAGCGCCCTGCTCATTTTCTTCCTGGACTGTTACCAAACAAGTCAGCTTGAAACAAAAACCTTAGAGCAGTGTCCCTTGTAGCTGTGCCTTCCAACAGCCTTCCACAGAAAAATAGTTGGAATTACAGAATCACAGGGTTGTTATGGTTGGAAGAGACCTTCAGAATCATCAAGTCCAGCCATTAAGATTTTACGTTATTTCATTTATGCATTACATGTCCTATAAAACTTCCCCTTGTTTAGCACTGTCTTCTATGTTGATGCAAACCCAAGAAATCAGGATTAATTTGGGGATGTTTTTTACCAGTAGTTGGGTGCTGCAGGCTCACAGCATTCATACTGTCTATATAAGCTTCCAGGGTAGCCCAGGATTTAGTCCTTCTTTAAACAATGCTAGTCATTATGTTAATACTCCAGTATTCGTGTGCAGGGTGTAATGTCTGACCAAGATGTATGAGTTTGGAGGGACCTTATTTTTTAAAGTTCAGTCACTAGTATTTTTAACAAACATTTTAGTTGTGGCAGAAATGTTTCTGGCATTAATCTCTGTGCTTCTGTGCTGAGCAGCAGTGACAGTAAAACCAATCTGAAAACAAAACAATTCTTAACTGCTTTTTTTTTTTTTTTAGCTTATGAAAGTAACTGTCTAACAGTTCTGTGTCTCTTTTCTTCTCCCAGGGAGAAATTCATATGTCAGAAGAGGCTATACAGGACATTCTAGAACAAACAGAATCAGATCCAGCTTTTCAAGCACTCTTTGACTTGTTTGATTACGGTAAGGTATATGACATTCACTTGTACCCTCATCATGACTGATGAGTTTTCCTAAGTACTTTGCAGAAGCAAAGGTGATTCAGCAGGCCTCTTCTGCAAGAGAATTGAACTCCATGGCACTTATGGAATCCTCAATTCAGGATTAGGTATCTATATACATTTAAGCATGACTAGAAAGCACAGCATTTTCAAGTAGTTTTTTGAGTTTAAGGTGAGATTTCCTGAATTTGACATCTCCTTTCTTAATTTAAAGTGTAATAATGACATTTGCTTGTAAAATGACACATTTACTCATTCTTCATGCTTTATTTTGAAATTAGGAAAAAGCAAGGTAAACAAGAACTTACCTGCTGGTATTTCTGATCAGAATGGAGTGGAAAATGCAGTCCTGGTGGATGAGAATAACCTGGAAACACTTGAAAGCTCTTTAGGAACCGAAGAAAGTAGTAGATGTAGGTGGTGTTTTTTTCATTAATATCTCTTCTAGTCTGTTCATTTTTTATTATGAAAATATTTTCAGTCTATTTGTACATTTCAAAGTCTTTCTGTTTTCAGTGGTACTACCCAATCTGACATTTATATTGCATGAACATACAGATACACATAGTCTGTCAGAAAGTTTCAGCCTATTGAATTTAACAGTAGTCCGTCAGTGTACTTACAAGTTGTACTTAGTAAGCTCCTGTATGAAACAGAATATCTGCCACTCTGCTTTCTTACTCAAAACAGAGATACTTTGAAATGTTCCCTGTGGAACACATAGAGATAATATTTTTATGTCTAACTGCATTAATCTTTTCTCCCATTCTGTAATGTATTGGTTAATTAATACAGAAAAAGAATCTTACTCTGGAGGAAAGGTGTTTAGTCAGTCTATGTGGTTCTTAATGGTAGTCAGCAGCAGATCCTTAGTGACAAGTATGTGAGAAATAGAGCCAAGAGGTCTTTATCATGAGATGTTTTTTGTGCTTCTGGAAATCTGATTTAGTGACTTTATCCATTAGCTTGTTATGTGTATGCTTATTATTTATGTACAAACTGATTTGCCAGCTGGGAAGTAAGTATGAGTAGCATTATTCCCATGTAGCTTCTTGTGAAACAGTTTTCCATTGAACTGGTATGTTGCTTCCAAACCTCTGTAAATGGATCATCTGTTCTAATAATCCTGGAGCTAATTTGTTCTCTGTTCTACAGGTATTAATTCCACAGAGTCACTGTCCTGTAAAGGTTTTCAGTTAGGAGAAGCACCGTGTGCCTTGAAGACCAGCATTCATGATGGTGATATGGCTAAGGAAAACACAGCTGGAAGCTGCAGGCCACAGAAGCAGCCTGAACTGCTGAAAACTGTCACCCCTGAACATATTGGGGAGCTGGAAATCGCTTTTGACTCTGTGCCTGGTTTGACTGAAGCTAGCAAGAGACAGAGTTCTGACAGCGAATCTAATGAACACTGTGGGGTTCCTTATGATAAAAAAGAGCCCTCTGCATTAGGATCTGAAAGTGGAAGAGCTATGGAAATTGAAAAAGGCCCACTAAGTCCTAGTGCTCAAAGCAGTCCTCATTTGGAATATGTTCATTCTGGCAGTCCGCAGATGTCTTTGATGTCATTGGCGGAGGGTACTACAGCCAGTGAAAACAAAACACATTCTGGAAGTAAATGCCACTTATCACCAGATACTTCACTATCTGAAAAAACACTTAATGGAAGCCCTTCTGTTGGGAGCCCTAGCCACAGCGTGGTGCCACAAAAAAACAATTCAGCAGTTCCTAGCCCATCAGCAGATGCAGGAAAAGAACAGGCTGCAACAAATGGTACAGCTACTTTACCTGGTGTTTTACAGAACTCCAGCCACCACTCTCACTGTCAGGAACAGAGTATGCAGTCAGACTGTGCTGAGAGATCTGCAGCAAAGGTTTTGGATCTTAACAAAACAGAGGTGCAGCTTGAAGTTGTTGATACTTCTAACAAAACTTACTCAAATGATCAGCATACTCTTGATAAGCCTTGTAAGAAAGATTTTAACCTCCCTTCAGGACTGTCAAGCTTGGAGAGAACACAAGGTGAAATGCAGGAACCTTCATCTTCTACAAAAGTAGATGCTGATAATATGTATTTCTCTTCTGGTGATGATGCATGTACAGAAATTTCTGTAGTGTCCACTGAAAATAATCTTACTACATCTGAAATACGCCACTCTCCTCTCCCAGAAACTGCATCCTCAGCGGATGAATCGGGTGCTGAGGCCAAAACTGTCAGTGGTGTGTCTTCTAGTAGTCAGCCAGTGGATGTTGATCCTTCTAATATCATGTCCCTCAAGATCATCATCAGTGACGATCCATTTATTTCATCAGACACGGAGTTAAATAATGCTGTTTCCAGCATCACAGGAGAAAACTTGCCGACCATAATACTGTCTTCTCCAGCCAAATCCCCAACCAAAACAGCAGGCCTATCCAAATGTTTAACTTCAGGAGACACAGAAAAAAACATGGATTCAGCTTTAGCAGAACAGAATCTTCTCGTGCTTAGACCCAAGGATCCTGTGGTCACCTCAGTTAACACTCAGAATGAAGACTGCACTGTTTTTTCAGTTGCAGGCACCACTAACCTTTCCAAGGAAGGGGGATTTATACAGTTGATGCCAGCGACAAGCACAGCTTTTGGGAACTCAAACAACCTTTACATAGCCACCTGTGTGACTGATCCAGCTACCTTGGGCACAGCAGTAACACCATCAAACGTGGTGGTATTGCCCAGCAACTCCATGCCGCTTGCTGCCCAAGCTCCAGCTGTGCAGCAGTTACGGACCCCTCCTAGGGCCAGCAATACGTTTGCAGCAAGCCAGGCAGTCTCCCCAAACTTCCCACAAGGTAATCTCCTTATTGGAAGGTCACTGAAAGCGTGGTGTTTGTATTGCTCCATCTTCCCCCTTGAACCTAGCCAGGAGTTAGGTATTTTTTTAGTACATAGTTGCTACTAAAAATGAAATAAAAACTGTCAGTAGTCATTGACCAGGCTGCTTTGAAAAAAACTAGCTTCATATTTCAAAAGCTTAAATTATATCACTTCAGCATTTATGATATGCATTTTAGGAAGCATATTTTGGCTTACACTAGAAAACATTCTGTTGTTTTTTGCTAAATAAAGCAGGGGGTTTGTTTTAATAAGGCTCCTGTTATAAATAGAATGCTGTGTGTTACAAGTATCCATAGTTAGTTTAGATAACTGGTGAGCTGTAGATAGTCTTGCCAAAATGATTTCTTTGTTTTGGTGCATTTTCTAAAAGCCTGGTCTACACTAGAAGTACATTTAGACAAACACAAAAGTATAACTTTATTTTCTTCCATAATATAAAATCTTTCCTGGTATGAACATTTTTTTATGAGTCCTATGATAAAAAATTCAAATGCTTTTTAGAACATTAGACCTAACTATAAACCAACTGTAATCACCACATTTAGATTTCTTTCCAAAACTAAAACCTCGTTGCAGCTACGCTTGGGTTTCTGTGTGTAGTCTCACAGCTGTGGCAGAGGCCCCTGCAGCAGCACGTGCAGGGTCTTAGGGTGCAGCCGTTTCTATCCATCAGATTTCTTTATGCAACTCTTACCTTTGCTCTTTTTTTTAATAGAGGAATAGAAGTTTGCCCATTTTTTTTTCCATTTGGTATTTTCTGAGTAGCGCTCATGTAACTGAAGAGCTGGGTGGAATAAATTTTACTTCTGAAATTTTTATTCCATTTTTCAGTTAGAGTGCTATGATAGTTTCCCTGGTTTATAATTCCCATATATGTGGCAGCTGGACACAGTTAGAAACAATTGGATTAGCTTTTTAAAAACATCTGTTCTAATAATGGTTTTAAATAGTTAAATAGGAAACTTTGGCTTAGGATGAGAAGAAATTGGCTTAAGTTGGACATGGGGAGGTTTAGATTGCATATTAGTAAGAGTTTTTTTTTCCTGAAGGAGTGTTTAGGCACTGGAACGGGCTGCCCAGGGAGGTGGTGGAGTCCTCGTCCCTGGAGGGGTTCAAAAAATGTATAGATGTGGCACTTTGGGATATGGTTTAGTGGTCATGGTAGTGTTGGATTGATGGTTGGACTTGATGATTTTGGAGGTCTTTTCCAACCATAATGGTTTTATGATTAAATATTCCAAATTATTCTTATCGTGCTTTATTTTTTAAAAAAAATAATTAATCTCAAACCCACTAATTAACTAGAATCTCTGTGTGTGACATTTAGCACCTCCTACCAGGCAGGAATATACATCAGATTTCTACATACAGACATGCAATCATATAAGAATATAAGGATGCAAATAACTTTTGTTCTTGCTAAGCAGCAAAATGAGCTACTTGATGTTACTTTTCCTGGTTTTTATAGATCACTTTAATTCAAAGTTCAAGCCTTAACATAGTCTTGTCATACTTGAGGTCTGATTTTGAACCATTTCTTGGAAAGGAAAACAGACTTTAACTGAAGAATGCGATAGAAACTAAAACCAGCACTGGTACTCACCCAGTTTTCCAGTGGTGACATACAGTAAGGACAGTGAGGTTTTCTCTACAAAGGCCAAGCTTTTCTTGCCACAAGTTTGACACTGCATCATTTTAGGAAATCCTGTCTTGAGGCTTTTATTGTCACTGAAGTTACTTTTAGTTTCTGCAGATTTTTAACACTTTGATATTTTTTAGGTTCTGCCATTATAATTACATCTCCAGTGCAGCCTGTTTTGCAAGGAATGGTGGGAATGATACCTCTGTCAGTGGTAGGACAAAATGGAAATACGTTCTCAGCACCTGCCCGCCAGGTAGCACGTCACAAATAAAGCTTTTCAGAATTGAAGTGATAAGGAGTCTTTTGGTACATTGTGATGAAATATTTTGATTCTTTCAAGGTTCTGCACATGCCTGTGCCTAATCCAGTGTGCAACAGAAGTGTCCCAAAACTTCCCATCCCTCCCAAATCGCAAAAGATTCCTGGAGCAAGAAACAAGACTCACACAGGTACCTGCCTTGCATTCTGGAAGGGCAGAAAAAAGGGTGGCTTCTAGAGACCTGTCACCTCTGAGCAATGGGGTTTTATACATACCAGTGTCCCTCTGCCAGCTATCTGCTGGGATGGCTTGGAGAGAGGCCTGTACCTGCAGTTAGTGACTGTATTTGCTCAGTTTACAAAGAAGAAATCCCAGCATATAAAATAATTCCAGATTTGGGATCAAGCTTTTTTTCCAAAATTTAATGTTTCAAGGCTCTAAAGCAATTTTTTTAAAGTCTTTTTTCTTTATATTTCTGGTTACTTGTCATCTTGTTGGTTGTAAGTGCTGCCACTGGAGCCAAGCAATTCTAAACATTTATTAAGGAAAATATTTGATAAAGTGTTGCATACTAAGGCAAACAAAAAGTCTTTTCTCTTCATCATTTTGGGTATATACTTCTAGAGATTAATTTCGTTGAGACCTTGCTTCTTTACATAGTAAATTGAAACAAGACTGGAGTTACATTCACTTCTCAGTGTTGGGAGTGGGTAAAGAGAGAGTTGAAAATAGACAATAGAGTTAGAAGGACAACTTGTGCTTTAGCCTATCCTTTTTTTGTTTTGTTTTGTTTTTTTTTAAACAGAGTAGGATCACACATAAAAATGAAAACAGAATGAAGTTGCAAAGTAAGAAAAAAATCTGGGATTGTATAGTGAGTCTGTGTTCTGCTTTGATGATGGGTAACAGAGTTCCCTGTGGTTATTTCCCTTCTCCCTGGAAGCCCCTGCTGTGCAGCTGTAAGCCCAGCGTAGTCGCTTTTGTCTTGCCAGGCCCACACACTATCTAAGTGTAGACAGCAAGCTTTGTGTTCATACTTTGTTGGCAACCTTTGCTGACCTGTTAATCTGGAAACATTAAAATTATGAAAAAAAAATGAAGAGTTCTATTGCTGCATTTTTCTTCATTGATACTCGTGTCAGGTGTAACGTCATCATAGTAGCTGTGAGGAGATTTACGTGGAATATTGTAATGTATTAGAACTTGATCTGTTGTTCCAGGAAAAGTGGTACCAAGTGCAGCTGAGCCTTCGAGCCATACCAGTTCTCGAACACAAAGGTCAGTAGCTGGCTGTTCAAACTTGCTTTATTTCTCCAGCCACAAATTTATTTGTCCAGTACTTGTGGAGAGAAGAGCAGCTCTTTTTAACAGTGGCATAAGGAAAAACCCCTTCATTTCTTCCTGTTTGACTGCTAGAATTATTGGTACAGGTGTGTGCTCGTGCAGGTACAGCCTGTGCTACAACTTTTGCTGTTGCTGCTGTTCCTGTGCTTATTTGGTATGGCTTTGTGTTTATTTCCTCCTGTCCCAGTTGTCAAATAAAAATCATTTGAGTGAAGTCCAGGCTAGGAGAAATTGCCTGTTATATTTATGGGGAGAGTGACTAAAACTTTTTATTTTTTTTCCTTCTCAGATGAGTGGTGCCCATGGTTCCATGGTACAGCCTCACTGCCTTTACCACTCTGCCCCAAATCCAGCAGAGTTGGTTAGATTGAGTTCTGCCTCTCTGTTTCAGCCATGCAGATTAGAGCACTCCTTGGGCATTTATAAAGTGAAAAGACAAAGGAAAGATGGAGAGGAGAACAGCATGCTGACTTCATTTTGGTGATATAAATTAAGTGCTAATTGGGATAGGTATAAGTTTTCTGTTGGGCAAGTGAGAGAGAAGAAAGCAAGGCTTCAGTAATAACTCTTCTTATCATGAATGGACTTAAGCAAAAGGATGTTGGGAGGAGCAAGAGTGTAAGGAGGAAATGAGTTCCGTTTAAATATTGGCAGTGAAGTGTTCTTTTATTGTAAAAACAGAACATACTTAATCTACCCAGAATTCAGTTAAAATACTAGAAAAATGGGCAAAAATAGGAACAATAAAGTCAACTTACTAAAAAGCTGCAGAAGCAAGTTTTTGGATGATATCACTTAGATAATTCAGTTTTCTGTTAATTTGAGTCGATCTCCAAACATACGTTTTGCATAGCAAAGAGAGCGAAATGGTCCCTGTAAAGAGATGTAATTGAGATGTAGTTTCTCATTTCTGCTCTCTGCCCTCTGTCTCATTTCAAATTTTGCAGGAATAAATCAAACTGCTTTCACCCATGCTTTCTCTGCCATGCCAAAGACTGGTACCAAGGTTACCATCCCAAGGTTAATTTTACTTAAATTGCCTATATTATTCTGGCAGCCTCTTACTTGCAGCTCCAAGGATTTCCAGAGCCACAACCAGTGTGTTCTGGGCTGGACTGTTCTCTCTTGCGTGTGCTGAGTTTTTCTGAACTCCAGTAAACTACCAGCATCCACAAATATCCCAGGGTAAAAAAAAAGTTCCCAGGCTTAATCACCTGCAGTGTCCAAACCTCCTCGTTTTGTTTTGAACCCAATAGTTACTTGATGCCCCTTGTTCTTCTGCTGGAAGACAGACCAAATAGCTTCCTTTTTGTTGGCTTTTTTCCCAGAGCTCAGTTGCACTTCCCCTCTGTTACCTCTTTACAGGCTGGAGAGTCCCTGTCTGCCTAATTGTCCTTGTTACAGGCTCTTGGTTCATACCTTTTGTCATCCTTTTTGGCCTCTCTGAGCTTCCAGTAGTTGTCATCCCTTACTTGTGGTCTTTGTGTGTTGATAAGATACTTGCATTTAGAGAATGGAGAGAGCTGGGGGTGGGTGAGGACTTCCTGCCAGCTGAAATGAACTTGCCCAGTAAGAACAAGTCCGTTGGTGAAGTGTTTCTGTCTCGTTCTCAGGACTGGAAATTCGGACAAGCTGAGCACTGCAGAACTAGGAAGGAAGGTGGAGGAGAACGTGCCTGTTGTGCCGGCAGAAGGCACGAGCTCAAATTCCAGACCAAGTGAAAGTCACAGGAGAGTGCTGTGCTTCGATAACGTCCTACCCGCTGCAGGAGGAAACTCCCAGGCTCAGGCTGCAAAGAGTTTACCCCAGAAAGAACGAAGCGACACCGCTGACTCCGTGTCATCCTCCGCTAAGGCGCAGGCAGCGAAGAGAGAGAGGGAGAAGACGCTGCCCAGGATTCTGTGTAAGCCGGAGGCCGGCGGCAGCAGAGGCGCGTCCGCGAAGGAGCCGCAGCCCGAG